AGAATCAGAGGTCCCCAAACCTAATTGGGCATGAGAAAAACAATAGAATAACAAGTTGGGATGTAGAGCAGGAAGATTTTAGCCTTCTCCCTCTCCCCTCACTAGCCTGCATAGATCCCTGAAAGCTACTTCTAATTTAGAAACAATTATGGCTGGGAACGGTGGCTCACACCCATAATCCCAGCATTTTGAGAGGCCAATGTGGGTGGATCACAAGGTCAGGAGTTCTAGAACAGCCTGGCCAATATGGTGAAACCCCATCTCTACTAAAAATACAAAAATTAGCCAGGCGTGGTGGTAGATGCCTGTAGTCCAGCTACTCGGGAGGCTGAGGCAGGAGAATTGCTTGAACCCAGGAGGCAGAGGTTGCAGTGAGCCAGGATCATGCCATCGCACTCCAGCCTGGGCAACAGAGTAAGACTCTGCCCCAGAAAAAAAAATCAAAAAATTTGTTTTAAAACTAATATATGAATAAAAACCTTAGAAATAGAAAACCTTGCTATGTGTACTGATCTGTATGGGGCAATGTAAAAGCAGCATGCTTGTGATGCAGACAATGTTATGATAATTCTCCTATGGGTCACTCTCTCGAACTCCTATCCTGAGTTTCTTCTCTATGGAAATTCTGTAGCTCTCATCATGCCATAAAGTTTTACTCATTCGTTTACTTTATTTTTTTTTGAGATGAGGTCTGACTCTGTTGCCCAGGCTGGAGTGCAGTGGCACGATCATGGCTCACAGCAATCTCCACCTCCTCAGGCTCAGGTGATCCTCCCACCTCAGTCTCCTGGCAGCTGGGACTACAGGTGTGTACCACCACACCTGGTTGATTTTTTGTATTTTTTGTAGAGACAGTATTTCGCCATGTTGCCCAGGCTGGTCTCAAACTCCTGGCCTCAAGCAATGCTCCCACCTTGGCCTCCCAAAGTGCTGGGATTACAGGTGTGAGCCAGTGTGCCTGGCCTGATGGTAATTTATAAATCATAGATCCATTAGACTTTCTGAATCAGAATCTATAGGGGTAGAGCCCAGGCACCTGTTCTTTGTTTTTAACATAAAATTGTTTATATTGGTCACATATGCAAAAGCAAAACAGAAGATTATAAGGGGTACTCATGGACAGAAATCATGTAATTAGTTTTGTTTTTTCTGCTAGGTGACATTTTATTATCTTTTTTTTTTAAATTGTAATAGTTTTAGGGGTACAAGTGGTTTTGGGTTACATGGATGAACTGTATAGTGGTGAAGTCTGGGCTTTAAGTATACCCCTCACCAGAACAGTGTACACCCTACCCAAGAGGTAATTTTTAAACCCTTGCTCCTTCGCATGCTCCCCCTGGCACCTGTATTTTTAACAACCTTCCCAAGGGTTCAGTTTATGGACCTGCTTTTGGGAACCACTGCTGTAAATCATGGTTGGAGGGGAGGGAAGATGAATTAAACTAAAGGTAGGGAGGCCAGCTAGCAGGTGAGCAATCAGGACACAGTGAATCAGGCTAGGAGGTTGTAGTAGGCTGAAAAACAACCCCCATGGATGGCCATGTCCTAACCCTTGAACCTGTGAATGTTACTTTACATGGCAAAAGGACTTTACAGATGTAATTAAGTTAAGACTCTTGAGAGGGGGAAATTATCCTAAATTATCTGGGTGGGCCCGAGATGTAATTACAATTGCCTTTATAAGAAGGAAGCAGAGCGAGATTTAACTGTAGGAGAGGAAGTAGGTCATGTGACTGAGGAAGCAAAGAGAGAAAAGGTGATGTGGTAGAAGGAAGGGGCCACAAGCCAAGGAATATAGGTTGCTTCCAGGAACTAGAAAAGACAGAGAAATGAATTCTTCCCTAGAGACTCCAGAAGGAATCGGCTTTGCTGACACCTTGATGTTAAACCTGTAAGACTCATTTCAGATTTCTGGCCACCAAACTGTAGGAGGATACATATGTGTCATGTTAAACCACTAAGTTTGTGGCTATTTTTTATAACAGCCATAGTAAACTAATACAAAGGGGAAACCAAAAAACTAATACAGAGGTAGTAGGAGTAAAACCATTAAAATTTCATAATTGATAGGCTCTATTATGTTGAGAGAGAGAGGAGGAATCAAGAATGAGTCTAGATTTCTAATCATAGATGGCTGCTGCCATGCCAACAACAGGAGGAGGTAAACAATTTAGTTGTTTGGCCAGGTGTGGTGGCTCACACCTGTAATCCTAACACTTTGGGAGGCCAAGGCGGGATCATTTGAGGCCAGGAGTTCAAGAGTAGCCTGGCCAACATGGTGAAACCCCATCTCTACTAAAAATATAAAAATTAGCCAGTGATGTGATGCATGCCTGTAATCCTAGCTACTCAGGAGGCTGAGGTAGGGGAATCACTTAAACGGGGAGGGGAGGTTGCAGTGAGCCAAGATCGTACCACTGTACTTCAGCCTGGGTTACAGAGCAAGACTCTGTCTCAGAAAAAAAAAAAAGGCCGGGTGCGGTGGCTCAAGCCTGTAGTCCCAGCACTTTGGGAGGCCGAGGCAGGTGGATCATGAGGTCGGCAGATCGAGACCATCCTGGTCAACATGGTGAAACCCCGTCTCTACTAAAAACTACAAAAAATTAGCTGGGCACAGTGGCATGTGCCTGTAATCCCAGCTACTCAGGAGGCTGAGGCAGGAGAATTGCCTGAACCCAGGGGGCGGATGTTGCGGTGAGCCGATATCGCGCCATTGCACTCCAGCCTGGGTAACAAGAGCGAAACTCTGTCTCAAAAAAAAAAAAAAGCAGAAGAATATAATTAGTTGGTTGGTTGGTTGCTTGTATGATGTACAGGTAAAGGAGGGCAGCAGACACTTGGATATGCAGGACTGAAGTTTTGATTCTGTCATGCAGAAGTTTTGTTATGCAAAATGGACAAAATAAAATATTCCATGTCTAGTGGTTGTGAAGACTAAAGGTAATATATTCAAAAGCCTAGCATGCGTAGGCATTCAAATGTTAGAGGAAATATCTTTACCACTATATAATTCCATGATCTGAGATTTGTTTGGCAGGCAAGGCATGTGATGAGACTCAGCCTCTAATCCCCACCCTCTTCCCATCAGCCTATTTGGCAGAATGTGAAATAGTAGCTGGAGAAGTCACTGAAAGGATCATTAACACCAGCTAAGATTTTGTGGATTGCAGATTCAGTGCCTATGAAAAGTAACTCTATTGACCACAGAAGTCCCGGGCTAATGCAGCTGGTCAATATTTTCTAATCAAGTAAAGCCTCATTGAGATAGAGGCTCAGCTGAAGTTTATCTTTTCCTCTTTTTAAAGAGAAAGAGTTTGGGAAGCAAATGAGTTCAATAAGATTTCCAAAGGGAATATTTAAACGGCTCAGAAAACAAACTGCTTTTAATCACCTTCAAACACTTGAGAAGCACCATTTGCGGTCCAACTGCTATGAGAATTGCACACCATTTCTAACTCTATTGTACAAGTGCTCAGGGCAGACCAGGAAATCATAGCCCAGTTCTTTTTCCTAGAAATCATGAAACTGTTTCCTTTAAAATGTGTCTTCATGCCTTACCTTCCACTTATTCTGGCTGGATTTCCTCTAATAAGGAATCAGACTAAGTTTTGATGGATGTTTTTATTCCACCATGTCAAACAAAAACCTGTTCTCAATAACATCCTCTCCCTCATGTCCATATCAAAGCCATTGCCAAGACCTAACAATTTCCCTCCATTTCTTTATACTGTGGCCTTCAAAATTCTAGTCCCAGCTTCTACCATCTCTTACCTAGATAATTGTAACAGGTCTCTGGTTTCCTGAATCCTTTCTAGTGCCTTTCCAATTCATCCTGACAACAGAGGCTGATCCCTAAAACGTAGCATCTGAAGGCAGAGTGAACGGGATCACTAGCTGTGGGGGATTTAGCTCACGAGTAATCTTAATGAGGCTCAATGTCTTCATCCACAAAACCGGATAATCAATAGCAGTAACTGCCTCTGAGGTCTGAGGTAAGGATTTCAGTGAGTGAAGTGCTTCTCGTAGTGCCTGCAAATAGCAACTGCTCAGCAAATATTCGGTGTGGTTACTAATACTGCCAACCAGCCTGTCAGGACAATCTCACCCATTATTATAAACATGCACACGTTTATTATAAAATACTCATTCATCTGTTTATATAGGTGAAGTGCAAAATGGCTCAAGAGTTTTCTTTCCCATAATTTTTGAGGCAAGCATAATTAGAAAATGCATATGATTTAAATGAAACCAATCATACTTCTAAACAGTAAATCACAGATATTATATAAAAGGAACAAATAAAATATGGGTAGATGGACAGTTTTATGGTTTTCCCCTTGAAGAAATTAACAAAATTCCTTTCATGCTCCTCTCAGCCTCTTCTCCCAACTCATTCCCTGGGACCCTCAGTTAAAAAAAAAAAAAAAAAAAGCCTCAGCTTCCCAATTAGCTGGGATTACAGGCTCCCACCACTAAGCCTGGCTAATTTTTGTATTTTTAGTAGAGTTGAGGTTTCGCCATATTGGCCAGGCTGTTCTCAAACTCTTGACCTCAGGTGATCCAGCCACCTGAGCCTCCACGAGGGCTGAAATTACAGACAAGAGCCACTCCGCCCAGCCAAAAAAAAGAGGTAATTTTTAAAGAAATAAAAAACAAGTATCCAGAGTGGGCTATTAAGTATTCAGAAGGGCACTTTATCAGAATATGAAGAGAAAATTAAATCCTTAGCTGACCAAATATAAACCATGAAAAGTCAGAAAGTAATACTGCCCCCAAATCTCAATTTGCAACTCTCCCTGAGCACCAGTGTTTTTTCTATCAGGTGATTCCTTTTATCTTAGAAGCCCTCTAATCACTCAGAATGTGCTCTGCATTGGGTAATTCAAAAGCAAAATTTCTCACAAGCGAATTTTTCAAGAAAAGCTTATTAACTCAACGTGAGGGAAGCATTCTCTGAAGCAATGAAAAGAATATTTTTAAATGAAATGCCGTTTTCTTACTTTTAAAGGACCCAGGGCTGGAGTTAGAACTTCAATAGACTCTGAAGACTGAGGAGGTTCTCTGGTGGCCACGCCCACACCCTACTTTGTGTTTCAAAATAAAAGCCCGTTTATGGCCAGGCGCGGCGGGATTATGGGTGGCTCACATTAGTATTCCCAGTACTTTGGGAAGCTGAGATGGGGGGATCACTTGAGGTCAGGAGATTGAGACCAGCCTAGCCAACATGGAGAAACCCCGTCTCTACTAAAAATACAAATATTAGCTGGGCGTGGTGGTGCCTGCGGGTAGTCAGCTACTCTGGAGGCTGAGGCAGGAGAATCGCTTGAACCCGGTAGGCAGAGGTTGCAGTGAGCCGAGATCACACCACTGCATTCCAGTCTGGGCAACTGAGACTCTGCCTCAAAAATAAAGTAAAATAAAAGCTGCTTGAAAAGAAGACCAAAGTTGTAGTTTTCCCACAAATACCACACCGTTGATTTCCTTGAAAAAGCATATATTTAATTTTTTTTTTTTTTTTGCCAGTGTACCTTCAGGAAAATTTGTGTGTGTGTGTGTGTGTGTGTGTGTGTGTGTGTGTGAGTGAAATTGCTTTGCTGGTAACTAAGCACATGTTCAATCTTCCTGTGAGGACATGCATACGCACATCAAACTAGTCTGGCACAGACTGGTCTAGCAGAGGCAGAATTTAGGGGTCTGGGTTCAAATCCCAGGTGAGCCACTTACCAGCTGTCTGACCTTAAACTAGTTACTCTCAATGAGCATCAACTACCCTATTTGTTGTTGAAACATTGTTGCATGGAGATTAGAGAAGGTACACAGAAACACAGTAAGTATCCCCTAAATGGCAATTAAATAACAATATACAGCTATTTGCCATTAACCCACTACTTACCTGTAAATAGAGCCTAAACTCAGCACTATGGATTTCCTTAAGTAGACTAGCCTGGCACCTTTACAAATGTTTACTTTTTCAAAATTCTCTTAGGATGTTCAGAGGACAAAGAATTGCTCAAAAACTCCACAAATTTTAATTTAGCAGAATTGAAGTTAATGACTTTTTGGTATCCTAAAATGTAGAGAGAAGGAATAAAAAGGGAAGGTAAGAAAATTATATACAAAATGACCTAAGGAAAAAATAGAATACGTATGATGTCAGAGGATTTTAAGCATTTGAGGAGTAAATAAAATATTATTTCCAGGAATATGTTTATGTTTATTTTATTTTATTTATTTTTGAGATGGAGTCTTGCTCTGTCACCAGGCTGAAGTGTAGTGGTGTTAATCACTGAAATCTCTGCCTCCCGGTTTCACGTGATTCTCCTGCCTCAGCCTCCCGAGTTGCTGGGACTGCAGGCTAGCATCACCATGCCCAATTAATTTTTGTATTTTTAGTAGTGATGGGGCTTCATCACGTTGGCCAGGATGGTCTCCATCTCTTGACCTCCTGATCCGCCGCTCGGCCTCCTTACAGGCATGAGCCACCACGCCCAACTATTATTTTATTTTATTTTAGATGGAGTCTCACTCTGTTGCCAGGTTGGAGTGCAGTGGCATGATCTTGGCTCACTGCAACCTCTGCCTCCTGGGTTCAAGTGATTCTTCCGCCTCAACTTCCCGAGACGCTGGGATTACAGGAGTGCCACCATGCCTAGCTATGTTTTTTTTTTTGGTAATTTTTTGGTAGAGACAGGGTTTCACTGTGTTGGCCAGGTTGGTCTCAAACTCCTGGCCTCAAGTGATCCCCCTGCCTTGGCCTCCCAAAGTGCTGGGATTACAGGTGTGAGCCACTGTGCCCTGCAGGAGTATATTTAATGTCTGCTGGGAAAACCTACTTTTCTGAGAATATGAAGGCTTTCAATGCCTGCTCAATTACTTTAAGTCTTGTCACACAACACAAAGATGTCCTTATTCTTAGGAAATATGTACTAAAAATAATATTTAATATTGAGGATGATTTAAAAAAAGGAAGCTGGGTGCAGTGGCTTATGCCTATAATCCCAACACTATGGGAGGCCAAGCTTCCAGGAGGAATGATTGAGCCTAGGAATTTGAGACAAGCCTGGGCAACATAGCAAGACCCTGTTTCTATTTTTAAAAATGTAAAAATTAGCAAGGTGTGGTGGTGCATGTGCCTATAGTCCCAGCAACTCAGGAGGATTGCTTCAGCCCAAGAGTTGCAGTAAGCTATGATGGGTGCCACTGCCCTCCAGTCTGGGAGAAAATCTTTCAAAACAAACAAAAAATGTAATGCCTGTAATTCCAGCAGTTTGGAAGGCCGACGCGGCCAGATCATGAGGTCAGGTAATTGAGACCACCTTGGCCAACACAGTGAAACCACATCTCTACTAGGAAAAAAAACAATTAGCCAGGTGTGGTGGCACACACCTATACTCCCAGCTACTTGGGAGGCTGAGGCAGGAGAATCACTTGAACCGGGGAGGCAGAGGTTGTAATGAGCCAAGGTCGTGCCACCAATGCATTCCAGCCATGAGACACAGTGAGACTATGTCTGAAAAGAAAAACAAACAAAAAAACCCCACAAAATAAAAAAAGGAAAGAAAACCCTCCTACAAATCGGTAACAAAAAGATAAATAATCCAGTAAGAAAATGTCAAATACTTTAAAAATACTGGAAAATATATAAAAGGTAAGCTGGGCGTCGTGGCTCGTGCCTGTAATCCCAAAACTCTGGGAGGCTGAGGTGGGCAGATCACCTGAGGTGGGGAGTTTGAAACCAGCCTGACCAACATGGGGAAACCTTCTCTCTACTAAAAATACAAAATTAGCCAGGCGTGGTGGCACATGCCTATAATCCTAGCTACTCGGGAGGCTGAGGCAGGAGAATCACTTGAATCTGGGAGGTGGAGGTTGCAGTGAGCTGAGATGGCGCCATTGCATTCCAGCTTGGGTGACCAAGAGCAAAACTCCATCAAAAGAAAAGAAAAGAAAAACACACGCACGCACACACACACACACACCACACACACAAAGTAAATAACCATTTCAAAAAGATTGAGACCTTGTCTCTAAAAGAAAGGAAAAAGGGAGATGCTGTCATTTAACAGATCTGAGGACACCTTGTCACTTTTTTTTTTTTTTAACTTTCTGTATGATATCTAAAACTCAAAACTCAATTTTATGGGCAAAAATGAACTAGGGAAAAAAAAAAGGCCTGTTCTGGAGGCGGAGGGGAGTCTCAAGAAGGTTAAGAACAAAGTTAACCCGGACGTGGGTAGAAGTGGTATGTGGCGAGGGGGTAACTTGTCAAATGCTGCACCTCCGGGCAGAGCGTGACTGGGGGACAGGTATAGGGGAAGGAACGCGATCCTCTGGAGCTGCAGTCCCGGAGCTTCGAACGAGAAATCCTCCTCCTCCCCAATCGCGAGAGCTCAAAAGCCAGCCTACTCTGAGGATGCAGTCGTGCCAGTGTGTGCCCGGGACACGAGGACTGGCTTCAGCAGTTGACTTTGAGTATCCCCGCCCGGGCCCGTCCTTGCTCGCTGACTCCAGGCGAGGCGCTGAGAACCCAAGACGCCACGTTTGAAGAGAGGTCTCCGCTTTTCAAACTACTACTTTGTTCAACAATCTACTGTCAGCCTTGTATTAGATACAGAGGATAAAATGACCAAGATTCATGCATGCCCCTCACTCCCATGGAAAGGGAGAAAAAGGGTACCCTTGAGGACATTTATTGAGCAGTACCTATAAGCCAGGCACTGCTTTAAAACATTATGCATGTAGCCAGGCAAGGTGACTCATGCCTGTAATCCCAGCACTTTGGGAGGCCAAGGCGGGTGGATCACCTGAGCTCAGGAGTTCCAGACCAGCCTGACCAACCCGGTGAAACTCTGTCTCCACTAAAAATACAAAAATTAGCCAGGTGTGGTGGCATGTGCCTGTAATCCCATCTACTTGAAAGGCTGAGGCAGGAGAATCACTTTAACCCAGGAGGAGGAGGTTGCAGTGAGCGGAGATTGTGGCTTTGCACTCCAGCCTGGGCAACAAAAGCAAAACTCCATCTAAAAAAAAAAAAAAAACTTGTATACACAACTGGATTTATTACAGACTTTATTGACAGTAGTGAGTCAAATGTTATGTAATTCTCATCTTTCCTTTTCTTACAAAGTTACCATTGAAAGTTATTAATTGAAAAATAGCAAAAACCATAAAATTTAGGTTTCTCAAAAAAAAAAAAAGTCTGTGTAAGCCATTTTAAAATAGGCGTGTGTTCTTAAAAAATGTCGTTCTCGGCCAGGCACGGTGGCTTACTCCAGTAATTCCAGCACTTTGGGAGGCTGTGTTGGGCAGATCACAAGGTCAAGAGATTGAGATCATTCTGGCCAACACAGGGAAACCACATCTCTACTAAAAATACAAAAATTAGCTGGGTGTGGTGGTGCACGCCTGTAGTCCCAGCTACTAGGGAGGCTGAGGCAGGAGAATTGCTTGCACTCAGGAGGCAGAGGTTGAAGTGAGCCAAGATCACGCCACTGCACTGCAGCCTGGTGAAAGAGGAAGACTCTGTCTCAAAAAAAAAAAAAAAAAAAAAAAAAAAAAGAAGTCATTGCCTTGAAAGACAAAGACTGAGGAACTGATCAAAATCAAAGGAGGCATAATCATCAAATGTAACATGCAACTTTGGTCTGGATTCTGTACTGCAGAAAAAAAAATGCAACAAAAGTCCTTATTGGGTTAATTGATAAAACTGAAAGATAGATAGTAGATTCTATAAAAGTATTGATCAGGCCGGGCGCGGTGGCTCACGCCTATAATCCCAGCACTTTGGGAGGCTGAGGCGGGTGGATCACGAGGTCAAGAAATCGAGACCATCCTGCTCAACGAGGTGAAACCCCGTCTCTACTAAAAATACAAACATTAGCTGGACATGGTGGCGCGTGCCTGTAATCCCAGCTACTCGGGAGGGTGAGGCAGGAGAATTGCTTGAATCCAGAAGGCGGAGGTTGCGGTGAGCCGAGATTGTGCCATTGCACTCCAGTCTGGGTAACAACAGTGAAACTCCGTCTCAAAAAAAAAAAAGTTTGCATATGACAAATGACAAAGTAAGT